AGCCAGGCTTTTCACGCTCCTCTTTCACCCTCATCAAGAAGGACGGTTTAGAGGTCAGCATTTACCCTGTCAGTTACACAGATAACTTACATCCAATTAATGCCAATATATGTTAGCTTTCTATTCAACGACTGCTGTGGTTTCTGTGTCCTGACTGGACCCCAGTGGATCAGAAATGCACCAGGGAGGGTTTTGGGGACCGAGGGTTTGGGACTGGGCTCATATCTTGGGGCCTGAATACAGTGCTGAGCTCTGGGTCAGTGGGGCCCAGATCCCGTGGTCCTGGGCAGGGAGCCCTGAGAGGAAACTAGGATCCCCCGTGACTGTGGCGCCCCTGCCCCAGCCTGCAGGTGCCAGAGGAGAGCCGGAGCCAGGGATGCAGTCACTGCAGCGAAAGGAACTCGGGTTCTGGTGTGGGCAGAGTCCTGCCAGGGCTGGGGCTCACACAGGGGACTTGCGGTCACTGAGAACCACACAGCCTCTACGGCAGCCCCCAAAGAGCCCTTCCCTTGCAGCTACTGGGCTGAGATTTCCCAAATCAAACACATGGTGTTAATTCTGCAGGGGATGGAGGGTCACCACCCCAGAGGTCACCGCCTCCCCGCGTCTCAGATGTGAAAGCCTGGGCGCTGACTTGGCTCAACCCCAGAACCCAGCACAGCGACAGGGCTGGTGTCAGCACTGCCTGTTTTGGCTTGGAGGCCCAGGAACAAGTTTTCCTGGGCTGATGCCCTGCACACCTGGTGTCACTCATTCCCCAGACCACTGCAGCCACCCCCTGCCACCCCGAGACCTGTGTCAGACCCCAGCCTGCCCCAGCGAGGGGCTCACATGTGGGGACTGGGGCAAGGCTTCACCACTTCCTATCGGCAGAAACCCGGGAAATGAGTGTGGGAACATGGGATTTGGTGGAGTTACCGGTAGTGTGGACGTGATGTCCACGGCAGCCGCTGGGAAGGCTCGAAAGCTTTCCGAGTTGACGGCCCTGAATGTAAGGCATTGCGGAACGCCGAGATGCCAGAACCCTGGTGCTCTGAGGAGGAAGAGTGAACCCACGGGCTTACGGAGATTTTGGCACGTGCGCCTGTGCGCCCAGCCCCCAGCCCACTTCCCCAGCAGGGCCCAGAGGTCACACCCTCCCCGGATCTGCGTGCTGGGACCCTCCACCCTGAGAAGCTGCGTGCTGGTGGCACTTTGCAGGGGGCGTACCCATGTGAACCTCGCTGATGCGCGTGGGTGAGGGTCCTCTGGGGGAGGACAGGGCTGCACTGAGCTGCCAAGGATGAGGCAGCAGGCGCCCGGCTGGGGTGAGAGTGTTCTGACCCACAGGCCCTTGGTAATGGCTGACCGGTTACAGCATCCCTGGGCACGAGGCAGATGCCTGGCCTCTGAAATGTTCCCTGATAAACACAGCCAGAAAAACTCTCAGCCCAGGGGCCAAACCCCACCCCCCCCTTAGTCATCAACGTGCAGTTCCATCCACCCACCATTCCCAGACCCGAGTCCTGTACTCGGTCAGAGGGCAGGGTCCCCTGAGCAGGGTGCCCTACCCAGGACTGCTGCTTCTCCAGGACGGCTGAGTGCAGACCTTTCAGGGTCACCAGGCACTGGCCTTGAACAGACGCCACTTCTGAGCACCCCCAACGCCACTGTGGCTGCAGTCAAGAGGGGCAAATGGTCGCCAGGGGACAGAGTCTCAGACAAGGTCAAGCCCCGGAGCTCAGGGGTCTACATGCCACACTGGCTACCCCCGAGTCTTCGAATGGAGCACTGGGGACCCTACTCTGGCTCTCGGACCCACAGGGCGTGGGATGTCATGGCCAGGCAGGCCGCCCCTTGAAACCACAGGTTGGCAAGCCAGGGGCAGCAGGGCATCCTGGGGAAGCACAGAGATGGAGGTGCTGACCATCACACTCTGGAGGGAACCTGCCCATGCAGCTGGATTCTTGCGACTCCAGATGGAGCATCTTGGGCCCTGCAGCTGCCACCTGCACGTGCATTCTCTCTGGACGGATGTACTTGGTCCCCGAGGTGCGGGCCGCCTCGGCGCGCACAGCCCACTCCCACACTCTCTGACTCCACCATCTGCAGAGATGATGACCTGCCCCCAGGCCTCGTGTCACGCATGGTGACATAGATGACACCGGGCTGGCTGGTCTGATGGGCAGGGAGGAGCAGTGCTTTATAGATGCCTCAGAATGATGCCTGCAAGCCTGAGGGATCAGGTCGGGGGGATCAGGGAGTCTCACCCCGTGAGGCTCCACCTGCCCCCTGCCCCCCGGCCCCCTCTTGGGCCTTCGGAAGGACACGCCCCTGACTGAGTGCTGCTTTGACCCATGCACTGAGTGGCCAGTGACAGCGGGCTTCAGAGGGCCCAGAGCAGGGCACGGCTCTGCAGCAGGATGGGCCCCTTGTCCACCCGGGCCTGCGACCCCCAGAGGCAGAGCTGGGGCTTCTGGATGAATGGCCACCAGGCACCAACAGGTGAGTCACTGGTTTGGGGGCGGGAAAAAGACTGCAGAAAAAACCCAAATCTTCTTCTGCAGGTCATTATTTTCCTTTTGAGAAATGGCTCCTGGCTTCCTACAGGGGCTGGTAGGGGAAGAATAACTCAGCTGAAAGCTGGGGGACCATCGTGCAAGGCCAGCGCCCACCCCGAGAGGGTGGCATCGGGCCTGTCTAGCCCAAGTGCTGGCCCGTCTGCACCTCCAGCCCTGGAATCATCTAAGGGAGGCTCCTGCCCTCCAGGGAGTAGGGGGTACCGGGCAGCACCCCCACCTTAGTCACACCACCGTCAGGGGCTTGTGACGACCGCTGACCTCGAGGGAGAACCAGTTGGCCCGAGGAGCTGCCGCAGAGGACGGGACTCTGAGACGTGCACTTGGCTTCCAGGGCACCAGGAGCCAGGCACTGCGTGTCCGCGGACATGAGACACGGGGGGCATCACATCCCAACCCTCGGGAGGCCCGCAGCCTCATAGAGGCCGAGGGTACAGGTGCAGGAGCGGAGGCCCTACACCCCTGCCCTTCTCAGGCCTCTCTAGTCACCTCTGTTTTTTGTGACCTCCATTTTCAGTTCACGTGTAGACGGCTGACCCTGGCTCCCCAGACCAGCAATGTCTTTGATACCCTCAGAATGACTTGATCGGAATACACTTTTTTTTTAACTGAAACACATCCTGGACAAACTTCTCCCCGTCTCGACGCCTCCATGCTGCCCTACCACGGGCACACTGGGAGTTGTCCAGGCTGCGACCTTTCAAGGAGGATGACCATCATGTGTCTCGGGGACGGACACGCTGCAGCCCCCCAGCCTGCTTCCCTCGCCCTCGGGACATGTCCACGGCCACCATGCAGACTGTGTCTAGACAACGGTCTGCTTAGCCTTTCAAACACATAATTAACTTTGCTGTCACCAGTGCCGAGAGTCACCCCCATTTCCATGGTAACCTGTTTTAGCTCCTTGGAAGCGTGGAGCCCACAGGATTCGTGACTTCCAGGAGACGAGGTTCAGGCAGCTTCTATTAATCAAGGGGGTGACAGTTACTGGATTAGTGACCTCCGAAGATCCATAAAGCATCACATTTTTCATGTATCACTCACTCTGGCTAAATTCTACATCAGAAAAAGAGTCCATTTCATGAGGGAAAAGCTGAGTAAGAATGAAACCTGGGATCACTTGTTTTTCTGTTGCTGAAAAACCTCCCATCCGGCCTTTGGCGGATGAGTGAGGGTGGGACGGGGTGATCTAGTTCTTCATTTGGGGAATTCAGAATTTCCAGGTACTTCACTACTGCAGTCTGTAGTTACAGGGGTAGAGAAGGTTTCCTGAAGTTACTGTCTGCTTCCTTAAGATCCTGCCTCTGGATACCACTCTGTTCTCCTTGAGTCAAGGAATCAAGAGCTGGAGAAGGGGACTCGAAGGGTGCCTGGGCCCAGGTGAGTTCGGCAAAGTCACAGGGTATCAGGCCAATTTACAAAAAAAATCAGAAACAATTGGAAAATGAAATTAAGGACAAAGTGATTTTCACATTCCTGAGAATTCTGGGCACTGAGGCTGAACGCAGGCAGAGTGGTCTCCCAGAGCCCAGGCATCCTAGGGGGAGAGCCACAGGGTGTCCCTGGGGGCCCACAGACCAGAGGGCTGGGCAGGGCTCCCAGGACTGTGCTGGACGAGGAGCTGAGCAGCCCGGGTGAATGCGCTCGCCCACTGGGGTCCCACCGAGGGAAGGAGCAGTGGGCTTCACCTGAGAGCTGCCCCCGTAGGGCTTCGGCCCCGCCCCGCTCTCCCCCAGCCCCTCGGGAAGCCCTCAATAAAGTGCCGACGGCCGTGAATTCCTGGCTCGGAGGCTACTTTTGGGGAACCCAAGTGAACATAATCCTCTTGGTAAAGACTTACGCATAAATTTACATGCACACATGTATACATGTGTATGCACACATATCTTACTTATTACACTGGATGTAATCTGATTATACTGAATGTATTATCTGGAGCTTTTCACATACAATTGTAAGTCATAAGGGTGTAAAACGAGTTGCAGTAAGCACAATTTTAATACCATAATAATCAGGTTCAAATTTTCTGCTGAAAGAGATCGACAGTTTTCTCTTAAGAGATTATCCACCTGAGTAGTTTTTTTCTTTATAACTGAAGTTTTTTCAACTTGACCCTGCTCAGTAACTAGCACAGGCCATCAGGATGCGCCGAGGAGGGGCTGAGGCCAACACACATCAGAGACTTGAGTCCCGATTCCACCTCGTGACTCCCCGGGTCTGTGGACCAAGTTCTCAAGTTCTAAAAAACGAGTGAATTCTAGATAATGAGTTTCCTTATCTGTTAAACAGTGCATTCCTTAGAAGACTGCCATGACGACTGAGAATTCAGACGGTAAACCTCAGCACAGGCCCCGACGTGCGGAAGGGACTGGGTCCAAATTACCTGACAGAGCAGCCACTGAAATAACACAGCTCGGACTCAGGGAAACGGGGCTCACTCACTTGTAATGTGGTATCAAAGACGACAAGCTTGGAGCTGGTTGGAACGATGTCGTAACACTTGTGTGACCTCATGAATCGCATGTAAACGCCACTTTCTGAGTCTTCTGCTGAAAAGGAGAAAACAAGGCTAGTATCAGTAATAAATAAAAAAGAACTTCCTCTATCAGATTAAGAGTACGCATGAAAAACCTATTGCTAACACATTTAAGGGAAAATAAATATTTTTCCCTCTAAGAGTGAGAAGCACATGCCACTCAACCCTGCTGTGCTTGTTGATGCAAGAAGGCAAGGGAAGAGATGAAGCCTCTGGGCTGAAAAGGAAAAAGCAAAACTGTCTTTATTTGGTGGACTATCTGATTTTCTACATAGAAAATACCAAAGAATTACAAAAAAATCTCCCAGATCTTAAAAAAAAAAAAAAAAAAGTTTAGCAGGTCACAGACGGATGAGTAAGTAAAAAACCAAAAAAGACACATGCTACTGTATTTCGACATACCAGCAAGGAACACCTGGAAATCTGAAAAAGTTAAAGGCATCATTTACATAAAAATGAAATGGAAGTAAGGATCTACATAAGGAGACCTGAAAACAGTAACTGCATGAACAAATATGCATAACGAACAAATATGCATAACGTCATCTCTATTATTGCAATTCCTGTAGAAACTGACAACTGGCAAAAGGAGTGACAAGGTGCTGCACTCCGAAGCTGTGGCTGTGGCTGGCGGCCCAGGGCCCACCGCCTGCAAGGACCTCACTCCTATCTCCTGGTCCACTCACGGGACACACCAACACCTCGCAGCCCACACCGACCTCTGCATTTGGGGAAGATTTAGATTGCCTGGATGGTATCCAGGGAGGAAAAGAAACCGCTTTATTGTTGTTCGGTGGCTAAGTCGTGTCTGACTGTGGCCCCACAGACTGCAGCACACCTTCACTCTCCCAGAGTCTGCTCAAACTCATGTCCATCGAGTCAGTGATGCCATCCAACCATCCCGTCCTCTGTTGCCTCCTTCTCCTCCTGTCTTCAATCTTTCCCAGCATCAGGGTCTTTTCCAGTGAATCAGTTCTTTGCATCAGGTGGCCAAAGTATTGGAGCTTCAGCTTCAGTCCTTCCAATGAATATTCAGGACTGATTTCCTTTAGGACTGACATGGCTTAATCTCCTTACTGTCCAAGGGACTCTCAAGAGTCTTTTCCAACACCACAGCTCAAAAGCATTGATTCTTTGGCGCTCAGCCTTCTTTATGGTCCAACTCTCACATCTGTACATGACTAATGAAAAAAATATAGCTTTGACTAGATGGAGCTTTGTTGGCAAAGTGATGTTTCTGCTTTTTAATATGCTATCTGGGTTTGCCACAGTTTTTCTTCCAAGAAGCAAACATCTTTTAATTTCATGGTTGCAGTCAATATCCGCAGTGATTTTGGAGCCCAAGAGAATAAAATGTGTCAGTGTTTCCATTTTTTCCCCCATCTATTTGCCATGAAATGTTGGGGCTGGATGCCATGATCTTAGTTTTCTGAATGCTGAATGTTAAGTCAGCTTTTTCATTCTCTTCTTTCACCTTCATCAAGATGCTCTTTAGTTCCTCTTTGATTTCTACCTTAGAGTGGTATCATCTGCCTATCTGGGGTTGTTGATATTTCTCCCAGCAATCTTGACTTCCGCTTGTGGTTCATTCAGCCCAAGATTTCACTTTATTATGCATACTAATTAGCAAGATGGGGCTTCCCTCACGGCTCAGTGGTGAAGAATCTGCCTGCCAATGCAGGAAACATGGGTTTGATCCCTGGGTCGGGAAGATACCCTGCAGAAGGAAATGGCACACCTCTCCAGTATTTTTGCCTGGGAAATTCCATGGACAGAGGAGCCTGGCGTGACCATGGGGTCACAAAAGCATCGGACATGACTGAGCGACTAAACGATGACAACAGAATTACCAAGATGAGAGTTGAAAGTGTAAAATGGCATGACAGGAACCAACTTCCCTGACTGTGTCAAGAAGCCCGTCATTCTATTTCCGACTGTGGTGAACAGAGTCCATGCTGGGTGGTTTGCCAATTTCATGATAAGCTATTTAGTGAACTACTCCCAAGCCTGTTTCCAATACTGACCTCTCTTCGGGGCACTGTAACTCGTAATTCAAACGCCCGTCTTTCCCATCACCTCCAGCACAGCCCCCTTCTCCCACTTTCCCTTCCTGCTCGTGGAATAAAGTCAGCCGACTCTGGCTGGCATTCAGGCTTACGGACCTGGCTTCTCCGTGACCTTGCTTGCCCGTTTCCTGTTCTGTCCAGGCACACAGCTCTCTTGGCCAAGCTCCCTGCAGTCCTTAATCTCACGTTCTGGCAGTCGTTCCTTCTGCCGTAATGGAAACGTCCTGCTCTCCACTTCCTTGCCCCATTTCAAATGCCATCTTCTCCACAAGGGCACTGACTGTCTGAGTGCTTGTTTCTGTGCTGTGATCCCAGGTATTACAGGAAGTGACCTCTTGCAATTTACGTGACAACCTTGAACGGTGTGCCTGGATTTGTTCTATGTGTGAGCCGACTCAGCAACAGGGTAGAGTCAGAAGTTAGGAAGTGATGGGAGTGGGGTTTCAATCTGTGTCGTGGAGCTGCTTGGCCGTCCCGGTGTGCAGATACCTGGGGTGTCTTCCCAGCACGTGAGCTGTCGGGGGCAGCGAGGGCTCCAGGATGTGCGTCCCCCGATGGGTGAGGTGCTGGACCGCATGAGGCCGCGGGCGGGAGCACCCTCGAGTCAGGAAGGGCAGCTGAGTGATGACTCTGTGCGTCCCATGGCTCCTCACTGGGCGAACCGGGTGTGATCTGCACGGCTCCAGTAGTCTTTCTCTTCCTGGATGCTAAATTCTTTGAATGGTCAGAATCTTACCCATTTACTATGTTAATTAAATCCATTAATACCTATTTATTGCAGATGGTCTTAGTGTGGGTTTTCCCACAGCTGACCCGTGAGACCAGGGGAAGTGAGATGAAAGGAAAAGAGTCAGAAAGAAAAACACCAATATAGTATATTAACACATAAATGCAGAATTTAGAAAGATGGTAACGATGACCGTTTATGTGAGACAGCAAGAGAGACACAGATGTAAAGAACAGACTTTTGGACTCTGTGGGAGAAGGCGAGGGTGGGATGATTAGAGAGAATAGCATTGAAGCGTGTATATTACCATATGTGAGATAGATCGCCAGTCTAGGTTCGATGCATGAGACAGGGCACTCAGGGATGACGCTGAGGGATGGGGCGAGGAGGGAGGTGGGAGGGGGGTTCAGGATGGGGACACATGTACACCCATGGCTGATTCATGTCAATGTATGGCAGAAACCACTACAATATTGTAAAGCAATTAGCCTCCAATTAAAGTAAGTAAATTAGTTTTTTTTTTTTTTTAAAAAGGGGAACTCCAGTGACCTTCCTGGTGGTCCAGGGGCTAAGACTCCACACTCCCAATGCAGGGGGTGTAGGTTCGATCCCCAGTCAGGAAACTAGATCCCACCTGCTGCAACTAACAGTTCTCAAGCAGCAACAGATACAAAAATCCTGCATGCCACAATGAAGTCCTGGTGAAGCCAAATCAATAAATACTAAAAAAAAATAATAATTAAAAAAAAGAGGAGCTCTAGTTGGCAGGTCACAGCTCCATGCAGTTGCAGCTACTGGGGACCCCAGAGAGGCTGTGCATGCCTACTCATCAGGACCACCCTGACTGCTTCGGATAGGGGTCACCCTAAGGTATTGCTCCTGCCTCGAACCCACAAGTCCAGCTACCAAAGAATACCCTCAGGTAAAGGTGTTCAGATAAGAGAACTTGGATGCAGGGGAGTTACCCATGGCATCAGCTCCCAAAACTATAAGTTTTGTGTGCTAAGCGTATGTTGGGGTACCATCTTAATTTCTGTGATTTTAAAAAATATTTAAATAAACATTTTACTTTGAATAGCTTTAGATTTATAGTAAAGCTGTAAAGACACAGCAGCTCCTTGTATTCCCCACATCAGGTTTCCCCCACAGGGATCATCTGAGGTCCATGTAGTCAAAGCTGTTTTTTCCAGTAGTCATGTGTGGATATGAGAGTTGGAACATAAAGAAGGCTGAGCACCAAAGAACTGATGCTTTTGAACTGTGGTGTTGGAGAAGACTCTTGAGAGTCCCTTGGACAGCAAGGAGATCCAACCAGTCCATCCTAAAGGAAATCAGTCCTGAATATTCATTGGAAGGACTGACACTGAAGCTCCAGTACTCTGGCCACCTGATGCAAAGAGCTGACTCACTGGAAAAGACCCTGATGCTGGGAAAGACTGAAGGCAGGAGGAGAAGGTGACGACAGAGGATGAGATGGTTGGATGGCATCACCGACTCAATGGACATGAGTTTGAGCAAGCTCCGGGAGATGGTGAAGGACAAGGGAGCCTGGCGTGCTGCTGTCCACGGGCCGTAAAGAGTCAGACATGACTGAGCGACTGAACAGCAGCAATTCCCTGAGATAACATTCCCCTAAAGGATGCGCTGGCGTGTTTGTCATGACCAACGAATCACAGTGATGACTGACGCATGGTTAAACACTCACACTTTAATCTCAGTGTGGACGCATGGTTCTCTCTCTCATTCTCTGAGTCACAATCCAACAGCTTGTTAGGACTGGTGCTCGGGGCGGCAGGGTCCCTCTCGAGGACAGAGAAGACAGAGACAGAGGTGCTCGGGGCATGGCCCATATTCCCGGAGCCCACCGGGGCTGTGACTCCCTGCCAGCCGCCCTGTGGTGTCCCTGCTCACGGCTGCAGCCCCCATGCCAGCGGGATGTGGGGAGCTGGGCCCTCAGGGTCTCGCTGTGAGAGGGGCTGCCTCATTTCCCTGGTGGGTGGGTGGTGAGCCTTCAATCACTAACATCTAACATCAGTGGGGTGTGTTTGTCACAATTGCTCAACTGCCTTAATTGTCACCCCTCCGGGACAGCACCTCACTGTCTCCTTAGGCTCCGCAGACCCTGACCTGCCAGCCCTGGTAATTCTGAGGGCCACTGGGAAGGTACTTAGGATGAGGTTCTCCAATTGGAATTCATATGATGTTTTTCTCATGCTTAGC